GCGTGCTCCTTTACTCGCTCAGTTTGCTCGCGTGCTCCTTTACTCCCTCAGTTTGCTCACGTCCTCCTTTACTCGCTCAGTTTGCTCACGTCCTCCTTTACTCCCTCAGTTTGCTCGCGTGCTCCTTTACTCGCTAAGTTTGCTCACATGCTCCTTTACTCCCTCAGTTTGCTCACGTCCTCCTTTACTCGCTCAGTTTGCTCGCGTGCTCCTTTACTCCCTCAGTTTGCTCGCGTGCTCCTTTACTCCCTCAGTTTGCTCACGTCCTCCTTTACTCGCTCAGTTTGCTCACTTCCTTTTTACTGATTCAGTTTACTTGCTTCCTCCTTTACTTAAGCTTGCACATTACAGATCTGTTCACTTCCTGTACAAAGGACAGAAGTTAACGTGTTTTTTTTCACTAAAGAACGTTGATAAGATGAAATAACCTATTAATTTTCCTTTCAGGTTTTCTCAAGACATGGACTTACCAAAATTGAACCGCTCGGTGAAAAATTTAACCCTAATCTACACGAAGCTTTGTTTGAACTTCCTGTACCAGATAAGACACCAGGAACTGTTGCCGTGGTTTCCAAAATAGGATACAAATTACATGACCGGACAGTACGACCAGCAATTGTTGGAGTTGCCAAGGCCCCTTAGCTAGTAGACAATTAGATGAGGAATGAAAGCATAATAATCCTATGTTACTTTTACATTTTGCCAACCCCAAATTCTGTTGTACTGTGTACAGTGGAGAAAAACATACAAGACATATATGTATAGCATAAAGAAATGTACCATCCCATCAATGTGATTTTTAAAGATAGCTGTATGTCGACACTATCCTTCCTCTTCTTTTCCCACTCATTTTGCCTGGAACATGCAGTAGTGATATTACAGTTTTCTGCCAAGACATCACTAGATCCAGTGCCAGACATGGCTGGCATAAACAGATGTATGTAGTTTCATCTTGCTTGAACCAGTGTTCTACAATTGATATGACATATTGCAATTTATTTTGTAAACTGGTATTCCCTTTTTTTTTGTTATTGAAACAGAAACTCTCAGTACATGTACCTACAAAATGTGAATAACCCAGTGTTACATGTATAGGGGTGTATTAATTACTTTTTCTGTACGTACTTATGTACGTGGTCTGCCTTATTACCATACACCATTTTGTACAGTTGCTGTGGTATTCAGTGTAGCATAGCAAAATAAAACACTTCTAGTGATGGGTGTCACGTGTCATGAAATAACATACGGTACTCCACAACATTTGTAGCATGTTACTGTCATTGGGAACAATGTCACACACAAAAAATAAGTGGGAGTGGATTGTAGTTTTCAAACCTGAAAAGTTTCTTTCTGACAAAATTGATTTTATTTTCTAACTCCTTTTTTGTGATAAACTCCTTTCATTTTTCTCCAAGCGTAAAAATTGTTTATATTATAGACTCAAGATTTAAGGTATTATGTACATGTAGACTGATTCCTATACCAATGATGAACCGATTGAAGTGGTTTTACTTTCAGCTTTTGGATAAAAAGATTTGTCTCAGGGCTAACCTAAATGTTTTCTGATTATCCTTGGAAATGTTAAAAAGTGAAATTCCAAATCTATGACAACTGATGGTTGTAGCAGGGTTACTTCCCTATCATTTCATGGGTTTTCTCAACAAGTCTGGATTTTAACCTCAATGCTCATTGAATTGCGTTGATTGGCTTATAAATATACCACTGATTTGAATATGCTAATTTTGAAAACAATGGCGAGTGTGCTTTACTCTGATTATTGTGAAAAAGGACCCACCAAGGATAGAAAGGTTACAGACTAGGGTGAAAAACATGATAAAACAGCAATATTGTCTTTTTCCATTCAGAATAAGTTAATCAGTTTGATATTTACCAGATTTCTCAGTACAACGGTAAAACAACTTCTATTTGTGAGCTATCAATCAAATAACAGTAAAAGTTGACTATGACAGAAACACGCAACTGAAGTAGAAGTGACCAAGACACTTGATACTGCATTCAATCGCACATAAAATATCCTAAATGGGGATGTACATGTAGTCTTCATAACTTCTGTGTAGAACTCAGAGCGTTGTCAAAGGTTAAAGCACATTTGTGTTTTACATGTTATTATGGACACTGCTAAAAGAGAAGTTATGTCTTTGCTATACAGAATAGACTCTCACAATCTAACATTCATATAATATTACTTGACACAAGAATATTTGTGTAAATGAATTTTATTATGCAATACATATTAATCATTATTTTTTCACATTGTCTTGGATGTCAAATTTACCAACAGAACAAATATGTTAAAAAATCCTTTGGTGTGAACTAAATAAATAGTAAGTGTTGACGCTTCAGATCTTCTGTTTTACTCTAGTCTCAGAAAACGTCAATCATTAAAGCGTGGTGTGGACAATATGGATCCCCTATAACATAAGCAGGTGTAGAATACAATATTTAACTCAAAAGCACACTGTTTAATGACTGGTGCTTTAAATGTGTTACAATGACTTGTGTATCAAGCAATAATGTATTCAATATACAGTCGAACATTTATTAACCCAAGCTAAAAATAGATGTGCATAATGGCCATAGTTTGTAGAGCATAGACTTTGCTATCTCAGGTAATAAGAATCAGCACTTTATTTAAAAAAAAAATTGTATTACAAATGCACGTTGACCAGGCTCCAACCCAGCTTCAACATGCATCTTTGCACATGCAATTCAAAAAATGAATTCCCACATTAGTATAGTGCGCCCTCAACTACAATGTAGGTCCAAATCAAAGTACATGTTGAGGGCGCATTATACTTTTCTTCCATAAACATATCAAGCTTAAAACCATAAACGGCATACCAATTAAGAATCTAAAAATTAAATATAAATTCAGGATGGATGCAAACTAGACTGTGTTTATCACACTGGTGAATATCTAAATATAAATGCCAAGGTAGGTATGAGGTATAACATTTTGTACCTTTAATAATAAATGTACTTTATTAATCTCAAAAGTCCCTTGTAGAATGATATAAGAATTGCATAAATAGTACAGCAATACATTGTATATCAAAGCAAAACTTTGGTGGGAAAATGATTTATACTACTAAAAAAAAACATTTAGTTACTGTGCCAAGTGTGATCTGGTATTTAAATCAATATATTAAAATTTCATTTTGTCCACTTCTATTTTTTCTTTTTCAGGCAATTTTTTCAGACATCTTGAAATTATATATGCTAGGCATACCAACATTGGACTTGTAGTTTGAAGATGATCAGATAAAAATTGTTTGAACTTTGGCAACATCTTATAGTGATTAATATAACCAAATTTGAAGATGGTTGGATATGAATTGCTGAGTTATTGTAACCATGTGCACAAGAAACAAAACTTATGACAGAAAACGAGGACATATTTTCTCCTTGTATACAATTCCTTTCATCTAATGATAAAAGTTGTTAATATGAAACAAAATTAATATCTAAATTACAGAAAATTTAGGGAAAAAGTGACTTTAAGCAGGGTGGTAAACTGATGAATTAAGGTTCTAAGAGGCATGTCTCCCTAACTATGAAGGACATGCCCCCCCCCCCCCCTGATCTAAAAGAAAGATTGTTTTTGCTAATCTGAACATTAAATGACACATGTTCCCTTAACCTAACCACCACAAAACATGGCAGGACAATTAAGCCAGAGCTATAGTTCGTTGCAAAAGTACTCTTCGTATAAATATACTACTGAATAAGCTCAAAAAAAATAATTTTTTAATGATTTGAGGAAAATACAAATCTCATTTGTTTAAAAAAAACAAAACATTGTGAATTGTACAAGTGACATTACAGTTAAATCATACACTATATATTTCTTGTATCAAAGTTGCATTCACACTTTGCAAATCTATGAGCTACCATCAGTTGACAAATGTACTCTGGTATACACCAACAAATGGTGAGATTGGAAATGGGTAATAAAAAACTAACTCCATAATGGGAATTTAAGTGGTACTTTAAATTAAGTCACATTTCTAAACATTAGACACTCACTAGTAGGCTTTGTCCCTTTAAGCTCAGTCACATTGTATGTATCAGTCACATTGTATGTATCAGTCACATTGTATGTATATTGTCTGAAGGATTAGACCCTCCAGTAGTCTCAAAATGAAATATGTGGAATGGTCAGCGCAGTAATAAATCATTTTCACATATATGCAAATGCAACTTTAATGGTAGTATTCCAGTCAAAGTGTGCCTTGATCTCTCTTTATTCATAATATCAATCTCTAATAAATCTCTATCCCAGGACACAAAAAGTTTTGGTGACTGTATGTAAATCAAGATTACAATAAATATAAATAAAATCTATTTATTTCAAGATCTGTGAAAGATCTCAGGTTTATCTTAGCAAACTTTGTATTTTCTGAAAGCCTGGGTAAAGCAGTGTCATTATTCTGTCATTCTTATAAATTGAAAGCTAAATATTAAGAATACAAGACATCACTGTCATTAAACGTACAACAGAAGAGTCAAATGAATGGGGTACATATATAAATGGGACCATTTTATGAAGGTTTTAATTTTAAAAACAAATTTAATCCAGTTTTAGAACATAAAAATAAACTACAAATCAATACACTGTAGACAAGGTATTCAGCATGTACCATTTTATAAATTGATTGAATTACTAATTTTAAGCTGAACCCCTGAGGAAACATTATTTAGAACTTTACATTTGTCAGATGGATGTGACATACTTTCCAATCTATGATCAAATACCATATGACCAATCACTGTGGCTCAAATGAATCTTCATTTGCATACCAAATACCATGTGACCAATCCCTGTGGTTCAAATCATTCATTTGCATACCAAATACCATGTGATCAATCACTGTGGTTTAAATCATTGTTCATTTACATACCATGACAATTCTACTAAAAACTATACATATATACGAGTGAGGTTGATGACAATCAACAAAAAATGTTATTTACATTCATATATAAAGTTATTTACCAGTGAATCATTTGTTGTGTATCAACTTTCATTACCAGAAATTCTTTGATGTATCACAAACAAATTTATTGGACATCAGTAACAAAGATCAAATTAATTAAATTAAAACAGAAATGGACATTTATGATACTGTATTAATTATTTTTTTTAATCAACAGACAAATCCATTGCTTCACAATTAAAGAGTTTCAGGGTCCAGGCTGCTGGACTATTATGAAGCAAAGGAGGCTGCATGACATTGATTCACTTAGCAGAAATATGCTGTTTTAGGCAGATTTTACTATGATACCAAATTCAGTTTTGTTTTTGAATAGAGAATATGTAACAGTTGGACATTTTGGCATCCAGACATATGTATTGAATATGTGTGCCAAATAAACAAGTTTGTTAACTTTTCTGATTAGCTGAAGCAGGGGAATGGAGGCAGTTCAAGTTCAAGTCAAATTTAAATTTTACACTACTGAGCATGTATTCAATGCATTATGGTTGATGTAATGTATGGAACGACAAAATTACTATCATCCTGAAAACTGACAAATGCATGCATGTCTCAAGTTCTTACTGAAAACCTCCCTGTAACACAATTTCTGATTTGTTACTGGTCTAAACTTGACTTGCAGTATCGTTTGGTGAGATAACAATAGAAAGTTGAGGATGGTTGTGGCTAACACAATTTTGAGACAACAATTCCTGAAACTTTGCCAAATTATTCTCTGTTACGAGCAAATACCTGAACTTTTTGAACTATGAACCTTAATTGTATGTATTTTTGCATATTTCCAATCCAAAATGGCTGCCAAAGTAAGGTTTAACAGATAATTATTGATTTCATGCAAATAAGTTCAGGTACCCACAACTATTATTTGCTCTTTGAAATTTATTAATTTCCACATTTAACATCTTTTATTGGGTCAAACTGAACAATGAATTGTTATTTTGTTTTCTTGGTGACATCAAAAACTACCCATACAAAAACAGTCTATGGAATGGCATAATGGAATCCTGTAGAACTGAGGCAATTCTATAGGACCATTTTTGTAAGGGTGAATGAAATCTTAAATTGATAACACTATAATAATAATATAGTTTAGCTGTTACATTTTGATTTTTTGAAATGTACATATTCACAAATAAATGAGATAATATTTCATAATGTTATTAGTGATCGATGGTATTGCAGGCAGCCATTTTGGATTAAAAACTTTGGATGAATTTTGGTATCAGAAACCATTGCAAAAAACACCTGTGTCACATTATCAAAATATTGACTCAGATGCCATTTACAGCAATTCTACAGTGAACTAATTAACGATTTTGCATAAATTATCTTGGTTGCTATGGTGTTTCAATATTTACAGCACTTGCCTTAAGTGGTCAGACATAAAATGCATCAAATTATCTACCCAGTAATTTGTACAAAGTATTTCCTTTAAATTCTCAACCTGAAAATTTATGATTTTTTTATATTTATTTTGCAGAATAATTTATTTTTCTGGGGATGCTGGTTTAGTGTTTTGTGTGTGCTCCCCATTTTCATTGTTAGTGAGTGTGTTGACAGATTCACCCTCTATTCGCTGTACTTTGATGGGACTATTAGTGTTGTTCTCCACTTGTTCCTCTTTCACTTCAGGATCCTTCTCTATTTTATCTTTTTCTTGTTTTAGTCTAAAAATATATAAATTTTAAGTCATTATCAGTAACGTATATATCTAGCAAGTCATTATAAACACAATATATATTACAACAAGTCCTTATCAATACAGTATATAGTCCAGTAAGTCATTATCAACACAGTACATAAAATAAATACTAGGAAATATAGTTAAATTAATCCAAACAAAAGAAAAAACAATACACTTCACAGGGTTTATTCAACACAACTGGAAATTGCTAATTCAATGATTTTTGCAATTCACTGTCAGACTGGTCCCCGATGTGCAGTCTCACTGGTCCTCAATCTCCCCCGATGTTTAGTCTCACTGGTCCCCGATGTCCAGTCTCACTGGTCCCCGATGCCCAGTCTCACTGGTCCCCGATGCCCAGTCTCACTGGT